AACTCTTACAAATTAATAAGGAAACTAAGCATCCAATAGAAAAATAGGTTATAGAGTACATATAGGCATTTTATAGAAAAGGAAATTTGAGGGTCCCATAAACATACGAAACTTGCCCCTCTCTCCTAGTAATCAGGGAGGTGAAATTCAAACCGTACTGAAATACCATTTTATTCCCAATCCACTGGCAAAAAAATCCTAAAGACTGTTAACATTAGTGTTGGCAAGGATGTAGAAATGAGGCAAAATACCTCTACAGTGCAGGCCAGAGTGTAAACTGGTTCAACTTCTTATAAAAAACAATCTGGTAGAATTTTGTGAGTTGAGCATTTGCATGCATGTATCCCAGTGATTCCACTTCTAGGTGTACATAATAGAGAAACCCTTGCCCAGAAGCCTCCTAAAGGAAATGTTCGTGCAAGCATTGTAATTATAAAAAATTGGAAGGAACCCAGTAATTGCTTAATAGGTTATTAAATCATATGCTAATACAATGGACTAATATACAGCAGTAAAAGTGAATTAAATACTAGCACAGGCATCAACCTGGATGAATGTTAGAAATATAAGGTTGGTGGGGGGAGCAAATTAGAAAATAATACATGTATTTTGTTACCACTTATAACGTTCAAATCCAAGCAAAACTACATTAGGGGTTCTTGGATATGTGGTACGATTAGAAAGCAGAGCAGAGAAACTCAGGATAGAAATTACCTGGATTGGCTATTTAATGTAAGATTGGCTAATATAAGGAAAGTTGACATATTTTCAAGATTGTCTGCATTATTTCAGGTTTTTAATATCCATCCCAGGATATTGGGGTAGGGGGGATGGAGGATGGGAGCTGTGATGATGCGGGAGTCTCTGAATATGTGCTGCCAACAATTCCTTGCGTCCGTAAGCACGCACATTTCTCCCCACATCCAGAGGGGATCTTCTCTCCCTGCCTTTGAATCTGAGCTGGTTTTGTGACTTCCTTTGACCAAGAGAATGCAATAAAGTAATGTTCTGGGACTTCTGATTTCAGGCCTTAAAGGTGGTAACTTTTGCTTCCCCTCTTCTGGAGCTCAGCTGACAAGCTGTAAGGACAGCCAGGCTAGACTAGTGATGATTAGAGGCTACGTCAAGGGAGGCCCTTGGAGGGTGAGAGGCCATCTCGGATGCTCGGGGGCCCAGCCCAGCTCCCAGCTGAACACAGAGCTACTCCACGCGGAGCTGCTCGGTTGCTCTGCTGAACTCAGCGCACAGCACTGGGAAGGTAATAAACTGCTGTGTTAGGTCACTAAGCTCTGCGGTGGATTGTCGCGCAGTGACAAAGGGAAAGGGGCATACAAAGACACCCAGTGGTGTGGCACTTTTGTTTCATAAATAAGCTGGTGGGCGTCCAGATACACACTAGTCATTATGCTCCATAGCCTACATCCTAATGACTTGCATTAGTTCTGTATATAAGAAATGCTTCACAATATAAAATCCGTAGAAAATCCAACAAAAAACAACCAACCCTACCTCAATGTATAAAAATGTATCTCCTCACTTTTTTTTTTTTTTTTCCTTTTTGTCTTTTTTCGTGACCGGCAACGGATCGCAACCCTCAGTGTCGCGCCCGTACCGGACCAGGGCCGGCAACGGGATCGCAACCCTCGGTGTCGCCCCCGCACCTCGCTCAGCCAGTGAGCGGGAACCGGTCTGTATGTGGGATCCGAACCCTCGGCGGGAGCGCCGCCGCACTCCCAAGCGGCGCACTGTAGCAGTGCGCCACCGGGCCAGCCCTCTCCTCACTTTTGATTTATATTTTCTATACAACTGTAATTAAACATTTTTTCATGTGTAAGCGTCGATCCACTTGTATTTCTCATACTGTGAACAGCCTGTTCGTATTCTCTACCCAATTATCAGGTTGTTCATTTTTTGTAATGATTTATAAGAACACTGCATATTAAGAAAAATAGCCTTTATGTCCTGCATTTGAAAAGCATCTCCCCGTTTGCTGCTTATAAACATTTTAATTTTGTGGTACATTTTGCTGTATACAAATTCCAACTCTTCATTGTCCAAGTTATTCTTGGTGGGTATCCCGTTTAGAAAGGCCTCTCTCCAAGATTATCTTTTAAATTATCTCCTCTTTTTAAGTACTTTTATGGTTTCATTTCATAATTAAAACCTTTGATCTATCCAGAATTAATTTTGTTACAGGGAAGTAGGATCCAAGTTAATTTTTTGTCAAAATGACTAGCTGGTTGTTTGATTAACAATAACCCACATGTCCCCCACTAACTGGAAATGCCACTCTGATCATATATTAAATTTCCTTATAACTTAAGTCAACTTCTGGGCCCTCCATTGCATCGCACTGACCTTTTCCTTTGCATCACCAAACTCCTTAATTATTGTAGCTTATAATGCTTCATATCTGGAGGGCTGTTCTTTATCCTTTTGGGGATTTACCTCTCTACTCCCTGTGTTGACTTTCTCCAAAGAATTGATTATGTCACAATAAAGAATAAATCAGGTTGGTATTTTAATTGCAGCCGCACTGTATTCAGATGGACGAATGTGAAGAAAACTGACATCTTTGCAAGATAGTCCTTTGGATACAAGAACAAGGTGTGTGTGCGCTCATTTGAGTCTTTTACGTCCTTCACTTGGAACTGACACTGAACAGCACCAAGGGTGTAGGTACCCATCCTTGTCCCCAGGGCAGGGACAGGTCCTGCCCCTGGAGTCCACTTAGCCAAGGCTCTGGCCAGCTCTCCTTCCACTTCCTTCTCTGGAGAATGTGACCCTGTGATGATCACGCCAAACCTCAGATTCACCCAGAATAGTTACTAATTGCCCAGACGTTGTGAATACAATGCCGTCCTTGTGCTTAAGGACAGGCAACAATGATGTCATCTGCCATGTGAAGCATAACAGGGAGGCTTCCAGGCACTTAAAAGCAGCATGACCTTGGGCGAGCTTCACAAGCTCTCCGAGCCCCTTCCTCCTTCCTCTCCTGTAAAACGTGAGCTCAGAGTGGCCAAGAGCAAGGGAGACAATGAAGGGGACGTCCTCGTTCCTCGACTGAATCAGCAAACAAGTCCACGTATTTAGGGGCCAGATGCCAAGGTCTGCTGGCCTGTCCCTGTCTGCTGCCCCCACCAAGTCCACCTCCATCACTCTCCCCCAAAACCCCCCCCAACCTGCGCCCCGCCACCTGCCACACCCAAGTCAAAGTCAGAAGTAAAAGATTTTTATTGTTCTAGAGATGCTTCTGAAAAGAGATCTAACTGAGAAAATATACAAAGCATTTAAGAGTTTCATCTCCAGAGAGCACCTAAGTCTGCCTGGAGGTGTCGGAGCCCTCCTCTTGGAGGCTCAGGGCTGAGAACGATTAGCATATGGAATGATCAGTAAAAACATGCAAAAGTGAGAAGGAAAAGGAAAACTGGTGCATCCCCCCAAAGCAGAGGGGGATGGGATTTCAGAACACAGGGGGCAGGGTGTACGCGTACCAGGTGGCTCTCCTGTCCCCCATTTACCCTTGGAAAGCAACGAACTCCACTTGCCCACCAGCACCCACAGCTCATCTCCCCAGTGCTCGGCCTGGCAGGGCTGCCCTGGATGGGACTGAGAAGGGACCCTCTTGCCCCGTTCCTCTGCAGCCCATCCTGCAGCTCCAGCCTTGGCTGTGGGGACCCCACTTGTGCTCCTGGGGGCCAGGGCTGGGGACCCTGGCTCCTTGCTTCTTTGGTTCCATTTGGAGAATGATTGTGCTTACAGGACTCATCCCCACCCCAAACTCCAGGCTCCTGCTGGTGGGCTGAAGGCACTGACAGGAGTCCTGGGAGACCCAGGACAGCCACCTTCCCTTGTGCGCTGGTGGGTCCATCCCTGGACATATCCGCCCCCATCCTCAGCCCAAGCCCCAGGCCTAGGAATCAGGACAGTGGAGGAAGTGTGCTGTCCAGGAAAAAAGCCTTTTGGGACTTTCCCAACTGTGCGGATATTTCTGAACCCCACGATCCCTTCCCCAGCCCCATCCCCTCATCCAGGGCCCTCATGTGCCCGGCTCTTCCTTCCAGTCCTTCCCCTTGGGCTGCCATGGCGGCTGTGGGCCCAGGTGGGTCACAGAAACTATCTTGGGGTGCCCCTTCCCTCCCCCATATCCTGGAGGCCAGTGAGGTGGGGGCCTCAAGAAATCACGGCTCTGGTACAGGGAGGTGGGCAGGGCTGGAAAGGAACAGGGAGATGTGTCACATCTATAGAAAGGCATCCAAAGTACAAGCTAAGCAAGGGGAAGGAGGAGGGACAGGTCACGGCTCTGGTACAGGGAGGTGGGCAGGGCTGGAAAGGAACAGGGAGACGTGTCACATCTATAGAAAGGCATCCAAAGTACAAGCTAAGCAAGGGGAAGGAGGAGGGACAGAGAGTGGCCCGAAAGAAAAGGATGAGGACAGGGCGAGGCCTGGAGGGAGCAGAGGCTTCACACCAGGCCGCAGATGAGCGTCTCCACCACGAAGGTGTTCTCGAAGTGGCGGATAGCCTTGCAGGTCTTGGCCCCACGTTTGTTGATCCCTGGGAGGAAGCGGAAAATCCTAGTGAGGCCTGTGTCCCAGCCCAGGACTGGCTGGGCCACGAAGGCCACGAGCCTTGGAGCCTGAGTGGGACCTCAGGCCCCGGGGTGTGAGGGGGTGGAGGCCCAGGAAGGGACCCCCAGATTCACCCAGGAGAAGCGGTGAAGTGGTGAGAGCTCAGGAGCTGGACTCTGCCTGCGCCTGCCACTCCCGCTGTGTGACCCCGGGGGTGTTACCTCACTTCTCTGTGCCTCAGTTTCCTCATCTTTAAGAGGGGCATCAAGAATAATAACGATGACGATGGGGACTCACACTCTTCAGAAGGACGTAAGGAGTGTACAGCAGAGCCCGGCACATAGTAAGTGCTCAGTTAACACCAGCTGGTATTACTGCTGCTGCTGTCTGAGCTCTCTGACAGCTGGGCCAGGCACTGCCACAGGATGGCTGTGCTTTGGAGCCCAGGGCAGGGACATCAGGTGGGTGGAGCCAGCCACTCACGCCTCCGGGTGGCCCGGCGCCGCAGCCGGTAGGTGTCTTTCCCGTTGCACAGGTGGTAGATGAAGGAGCCCAGGGCCTCCTTGTCGCTGACGTGCTCTGTGACCACCATCTCCTCCTGGATGATGTACGTCTGCGGGAGGTAGGTCCCTCTCTGCAAAGGAGGGGAGCGGCCCCAGTGCCGGGTCAGCACCCAGGGCTCTCCTCCGTGGTCTCCCCCAGCCCACCCCCTGCTCACCCCC